GGTAAGGCCGCTTCCCCGTGTCCCCATGTCCCCGCGCCGTCACCCGCTAATCGTTCCTGCAGCTCAAGGCCGAGATGGGGATTGGGGAATATCCAGGGATTGGAGAATAACGGCGGATTGGAGAATAACTGGGTCCCGCTTTCACTTGAGACAGCCGTAAAGCTGCTGCCAGTGGCAAAACCAGATTTGCAGCAGTTCCTTCTCAAAAACGGCTTCCAAACGGCATTTTCCCGGCTTTGCTCCTTGCTTTTTGGATTAGGCTTAAGCAGACTCTGGCGCTGTGCGTGTCCTTCCCGCCGAGGAGCCCCTCGGAGCCGGCCGGAGCAGCCCCTGGTAAGACGGGCTCATCCCCACGTGCCGGGTCGGCTGCAGCAGCTGGTGCCCGGCAGGTGCTGCAACCACCAGGGCTTTCCTGGTCCCCTAGCAAAAAAAGGCAAGAAGACCCGTTAAAAAACTGATTTTGGTTAATATAAAGAATAGCTTAAAGGAAGCCGTGGTGCCTTCCAGAGGCGTGGAGGGTACCTGCAGTGTTCCTTCCCCCTGGAAGTCCTTCCACGCCGCGCTGGCAGGGAATCGATCGTGTCCGTGGAGGCGCCGTTTGCGCAGCGGGACGCGGTGTCACATCAGTCGAGCGGGGGATTATTCCTGGCTGCGGGAGACGTGAGCCGGGTGCCGAGCAGGGATGCGGGATGGCGACGGCTCTCGGCCTCCCTCCCGCCTCCGGGAATTCCCGAGGGGCTCCCGGGCCTCCCTGCAGCACGGAGGGCTCTCCAGGACAGCTTCCCTCCGGGCTTTGCCCTCAGTTACCTGCGCACGGGCCAGGGAGAAAAATCGCTTCTGAATTTTGAGCAGTTTTAATTATGCTTTTTCATCTCTAGCTCAGCTTTCTCTCCTTGTCCTTTTATACCACTAGAATTAACTTTGTTCTTCAGACCTTTAAGGCACACAGTTTCCCCATGGAAGTGGAGAAACTTAAATCCGGAGGCGGCTGCTGAGCTCTTGTGTGTTTTACTCGAATTTCTGTTTTCTGTGTAAACTGTGGCTCGCTGCCCTCCTCGCCAGCCGGCCCCTTGTCCCCGGCGCCTCTCTGGCAGCGTGGGCTGTCCCGAATGTCCTTCCCGATGCCACCTGTGACCGCTCGCGGCGCCGCTGCGGCAGCGGGTGCGTGTTGAGGTGCAGCAGCTCTGCGCTCCTGGGCCGCGCGGGGCCTTGATTCGGATCCAAACCGCAAGGATGGGCTTGAGTTTCAGCTCCTTGTGCTCTTCTCCCAGGAAGGCTTTTGAAGCAGAAGACAGCCCGGTTTCTTTAGCTCGGAAATGCTGTAATTTATCCGTATTTTAGGCACGATTTGATGGTGCAGGTGGGGCCTGGCCTGGCTGCCCACCCGGTTAAACACCAAGGCAGCCTGTGCTCTTTCCTTGCGGTAAATGAGGGGCCGGGAAAGATTTTGCAGCTCAGTAACGAAGCTCTTGAAATGCAAAGGCGTTTCTTCTTCCTGCTCTGATTGTGCCATTTGTTCTAGTTTCTATAATAAGTTTGTTTGGGCTTGCAGATTGCCAACTGGAAGCTGCCGGGCGCGCGCGGCGCGGCGGGGGGGCCGCGCGCTCCTACGTGTGCTTGGCTCGTGGCACCATGGAGAACGGGCATTTTCAATAAATGCTATTTCTTTTTTCCCCGGAAAGCCCATTCTCAGGTTGGGAATGGGAATGGCCCAGAGCTGCAGCAGCGCAGAGCGTCGCGGAGCCACCAAAGCGGATCGCTCCCGTCTCCGTGAGGTTTTCCCAACTCATTAATAACCCTGGGAGAAGCTTCCCCACCTGCAGCCCTCCTCCAACGAGGGATTTTGCCTCAGGGATTTTTGCAATGCCGGCCCCCGGAGCGGGGCGATCCCCGTGTCCGCGAGCCGCGTCCACCGGCGGCAGCGTTTGCTGCGGCGCATGGAAAACGCTCCGGAGGCGCCGGCAACGGAGGCCTCGCGAATTTGAAGCTGTCATGAGGCATGTGGGGAACTGTCTTTTAAACGTCTTGCTTTCTTTTAATGCCTGCCGTGTTCGCAGCTTTGTCAGATTTGGGTCATGCTGCGACGGGAGGGAGCGAGGCCCTGCAAGCGAGATTTTCTCCAATTCTCCCCTGTGCAGCTGCCTGTTTTTTTTCCCTCCTTCCTTTCCTTCTCCTTCCTTTCTGAATAGCATAAATAATGCATTTTTTTTCCCCATTCTAGTGCTATTTTTAGGGCTGGGATTTTGGGCTAACGGACTGTATAATTCACCAGCAGATCTCCTGCGCTTGGCAAGCAACCTGCTCCCTCTGGATGGGCTCCGCAAGCTGCTTTTGCAACTGCTCTTCTTTCAGGACTTACTTAACTGCTTTTCTTTATGCTTTTTTTCAAAGCCGTCCTAGTAAACAGATGTGTTTGTACAGTCGGTTCTCGGGTGGCCTTTTTGCATCTTCCTCAAAGCGCTAAGAATTTCCATAAATCTAACCACGTGCTGTTTGTTTATTAAAAAGTGAGAAAACAATTAATTTGCTCAGTCCCCTCGGCCAAACCCATCCCGGGTTTCTTGCCCATCTCCAGCGCTCCGGATTGAGGATGGGGTAGGGGAAATAGAGCGGCTTCGTGGGTGTCAAAAGTTGCTTTGCAGAAAAGGGGTCGATTTTTGAGTGTTGGCGCATGGGTGCAGAGACAACGAGGGGAGCAGGATAGCGCATGCCGTGTTGTGGGATGCCCTGTCGTGACAGTGTGTTGGGGTGTCGCGTGGTGACGCTGTATAGAATCATAGAATCATGGAATGCTCAAGGTTGGAAGGGACCTCTAGAGGTCATCTAGTCCAACCCCCTGCACACGCAGGGTCACCTAGAGCATGTGGCACAGGGCTGCGTCCAAGCGGGTTTGAAGATCTCCAGAGAAGGAGACTCCACAACCTCTCTGGGCAGCCTGTTCCAGTGCTCTGGCACCCTCACTGTTAAGAA